GTCTGATTTTGCTAAATTGTGTAAGTGAAAATATTACCTACTGTATAAAGCCACAGAAGAACTGTTGTGCATCTCCTAATAAAACACAATAGGTGTTGGACTTGAAGCAGCACTGCACAGACAATTCTGTGTGTGATATCAAAGTAGAGCGAGAGTGATTAGACAGCATTTTTAACATTGTTGTTTTGATGTCACATAAGTCTTGCTGTTTTGCTTTTTTGTTAAAGCAGTGTTGCTGTTGTAAAGTTGTACAGCTACAGTTGTGTTGCTGGGTTTTAAAGCAGGTTTAATTTTTTTTCTTTCTTATCAGTCTGTATATACAGCAATTTCACTGTCCACTCTGTTCAAATGTGGATGAATGGCTACACATACATCACTACCATCCTGCTTTTGTGGGGGTGGGTAGGGGTGTTAATTTTTTTGTTTTTTTAACATTCTAAAAGCTCTTTATTCCAAAGATACTACAAGATGTTAAATGTTGTTAGACATTTACTTTTGGTACTTTTAAAAGCAAGTACTTCTGTACTTTTACTTAAGTAAAAATCTGTCTTTACAACTTTTACTTGTAATGGAGTAATATTTGACCAGCAGTATCTGTACTTTCACTCAAGTAATGGAATTGAGTACGTTGTCTGCCTCTGCCCGAAACTGAAAGAACTGCGCATGTGCAATGACACAGAAATAGCATAATGACATGCAGAACGAGCGGTTCTTCCTTTTGCATAAAGTGCTGTATAAATGCGTGTCCTGTCATTATAAAACTCTCCTTTCACTCGGCAACTGTGAAGTGGAGCAGGACAACCTCCCACCAGTCCTTGTTTTGGATTATCATCCACAGGCAACCCGTTTTGGCTGCTGGGAGGGACATTTTTACTGCGTGATAAATATGAGCAGCAAGGCACAGCGGTTTATATGTATATTTATCCATAAATTAATAAATATTAATTCTGCTGTTAAAAACAAATAAATAAACCATGTAGGAGAGTGGTTATTATGTGCAAACAGTGAGAAACTCTATATTTGTGCAGTGTGCGCATGTAAAAAAAAAAAAAATCTATTCTGATTTGAAGCTTGTGACATAAACGCGCATATCAACCCGATCACTTTATTTAGCATTAATGTAAACACTACATTCAGATTCATCAATCGGAATGAATTCAGTTCGATTGAACCAAAAATTGTGCATGTAAACGTAGCCAATGATGCAGAAGCGTGCCGTCTGGTGGCTGTCAAGGGCACACCAGCCACTGGCTGTGACAGTCAGTTTCGTGTTACAGTGTTTGACATTATCCTTCAGCTAACATTTGCAAATGCACACCAGCACTATCCACCTAGGAAAAACATTGAAGTGTGCTCGAAGTTAGTTATACAAATGGAACTTAGAAGCCGTATTTCTGCGGGCAGTATCTTCATCTGTCCTTACAGTATGTGTCAGGGTTGGGGATGAAGGGATGAGGCGAGGACTTCTTTTGGACTGATTAAAAAAAAACACCCGCCCAGTGCAATTATAAAGTTTTGAAGAGCAAGGACCAATTGCAAGGAGCAATTTTTTATATAACTCCGATTGGATTCGTCTGAAGGAAGAAAGTCATATACACCTAGGATGCCTTGAGGGTGAGTAAAACATAAGCTAATTTTCATGTTTGGTTCAACTAACCCTTTAACAGTTTTAATTTATTCACATCCATCGACGCACACACACGCGCATCAAAACTGGTAAAAGGAAGCTCAGACATGGTTGGTTGATGCGCACGAGAACCAATCAGATGTTGTCATGCGTGTTACGCAAGCACGCCTGAGCTTCCACATAAGCCAATGAGGTTTGTTTTTTGCGTATCACGCGGTACTTTGAGTTTGTTTGAATATAGGTAGATAAACAAGTAAATAAATAGGGATTTTAAGCATGTCTTTGCTTAA